CTCAATTTTTCTGTCTTTCCATATTTCAGTTTCGCAATTTTTTAATCATTCTTTTCGATTTGTAATTTTTTAGGCTTTTAATTCTTCATTTTTCAATTTTTAGTTTCTTCAATTTCACGATTTTTCAACCTCTGGATATTTTAAATTCTCAATTTTTCTATTTTTTCACATTTTGATCTCACAATTTTTCGATTGTCCTCGATTTTTCAATTTCTGAATTTTTAATTGTTCGAAATTTCGTTGCTTCAAGTTTTCGATTTGGATTTTGTTTTCGAGTTTTCTATTTTTCGATTTGTAAATTTTGAATTTCTCGATTTTTCTGATCTTTTAGTTATTCCATTTTTCGATTTTTAACTCTTCAATTTTTGATTTCTTCAATTTTTCGATTTTACAATTTCTCGATTTTTGCTTAATTTAGTTTTCTGTGTTTCAGTTTTAACAGTTTTTGTTTCTTGGTTTTTAATTTTTCGATTTTTCGACTTTTCATTTCTTAAATGCTTGGATCTGGAAGTTTTTTTTTCGATTTTGTAATTTTAAAATTTATCTATTTTTCAATTTTACAATTTTACAATTTTTCAATTAGTCAATTCGTTTTTCCAGTTCCTTAGTTTTTAATAGTATGATTTTTCGTTTCTTCTAGTTTTCGTTTTACTTTTCGTTTCGGTTTTTCAATTTTTCATATTTCTATTTGTAAATTTTGGATTTCTCAATTTTTCCGATGTTTCAATTATTCCATTTTTAGACTTTAAACTCTTCATTTTTCGACTTTTAGTTTCTAAAATTTACAGATTTTATAATTTTTTCAATTTTTAAACAATTTAGTTTCCTGATTTTTTTTTATTTTGGGTTTTTTTGTTCCTTGATTTTTAATTTTTCGATTTTTGAATTTTTCATTTCTTAAATGTTTCGTTTTGCGCTTTTTTAATTATTTTTGCACATTTTAATTCACAATTTTTCGGTTATTCTTTTCAATTTTTCAGTATCTCAGTTTTAATTGTTCGATTTTCATTATTTTCGGCTTTTCAATTTTAAATTTTTCGGTTTTTCTATTTTTTTATTTTTTTTTATTTTTAGTTTTTCAATTTTTCATCTCCTAAATGTTGCAATTTGTGTTTTTTTTTATTTTTCCATTTTCTTCTTTAATTTCAAAATTGTCGATTTTCGGTTTTTACAGTTTTGCAATTTTTCTATTTTTCAACCTCCCGATATTTTGAGTTCTCAATTTTTCTATTTTTCCACATTTTGAATTTTTTTGTTATTTTTTTCAATTATACAGTCTCTCAATTTTTAATTGTTCGGATTTTCAATTTAAAATATCTCGATTTTTCTATTTTTCGATTTGTAATTCTGGATTTTACCGATGCTTCAGTTTTCAATTTTCAATGTTCAATTTTTCAATTTTTGGTTTCTTCAATTTTTCGATTTTACAATTTCTGAATTTACAAGTAATTTAGTTTTCTATTGTTTCAGTTTTATCTTTTTTTTTCTCGATTTTCAATTTTTTTTTCGCTTCTAAAATATTATGATTTTTTTTTTATTTTCGATTTTTTAATTTTAAAATTTGTCGATTTTTCGATCTTACAATTTTGTAATTTTTCGATTTTTCCAACTTTCGGTATTTTAAATTCTTAATTTTTCTATATTTTCACATTTCAGTTCCACAATTTTTCGATTAATCTCTTTGATTTTCTATTTGCAGGTTTTTTCCAATTTTTCCAGTTTTTAATTTTAAAATTTGTCAATTTTTCGATTTACCAATTTTTCAGAATTTTCATTTACTCGATTTCCCAATGTTTAACGTCTTCGGGTGTTCCCTTAATTTTTGACTTTTCGTCCAATTTTTCAGTTTTACGCTTTTTCAATTTTTCGATTTTTCAATATTTTGCTATTCAAATTCTTAATTTTTCTATATTTCCACATTTCAATTTCGCAATTTTTCGATTATTCTTTTCAATCTTTCAAATTTTCAATTTTTAATGATTCGATTTTTCATTTCTAGTTTTCGATTTGCATTTTTTTTTGCCTTTCAATTTTGCAATTTTTTGATTTGTAAATTTTGGATTTCTGGATTTTTCAGATGCTTTAGTGATGCCATTTTTCAATTTTTAACACTTCAATTTTTCAATTTTTGGATTCTTCAGTTTTTCGATTCGACACTTTCTAGATTTTGTTTTGTTTTTTAGATTTTTGGCTTTTTTGTTTGTTAGTTTTTAATTTTTCGATTTTTCTACTTTTCATTTCTTAAATGTTTCAAGTTGCAGGTTTTTTCTTTAATTTTTTCATTTCTTAATTTTAAAATTTGTCAGTTTTTCAGTTTTCAATTTTGCAGTTTTTCGATTTATCAATTTTTCTGAATTACTTTTTTCCGATGTTTTTTTGTGTTGACAATTTTCTATTTTTCGTTTCTCCAATTTTTCGGTTTTACAGTTTTTTAATTTTCTATTTTTCAACCTTGCGGTATTTCTAATTTTCAATTTTTCTATATTTCCACAATTCGATGTCACAATTTTTTTATTATTCTTTATGATTTTTCAAATACTCAATTTTTTATTATTCGATTTTTCGTTTCCTCAAGTTCTTGATTTGCATTTTTTTTTTTCAGTTTTCCAATTTAAAATTTTGGATTTCTGGGTTTTTCAGATACTTTAGTTATTCCATTTTTCGATTTTCAACTCTTCAATTTTTCGATTCGAACTTTCTCAATTTTTGAATAATTTTGTTTTGTTTTTTCGATTTTGAGATTTTTATTTTTCAAGTTTTTAATTTTTTAATTTTACAACTTCTCATTTCGTAAATGGTTCAATTTGTAGTCTTTTCTTCAATTTTTCCATTTTTTAATTTTAAAATTTATCAATTTCTCGATTTTACAATTTTGCAACTTTTCGAATTTTCCACCTTCCGGTATTTCAAATTCTTAATTTTTCTGTATTTCCACATTTCAGTTTCACAATTTTTCGAATATTCTTTTTGATTTTTCATATTCTCAGTTTTTAATTATTCGATTCTTCGTTTCTTCATGTTCTCGATTTGCATTTTTTCGGTTTTTTAATTTTAATTTTTGGATTTTTTAATTTTTCGATTTGTAAATTTTGGATTTCTGGATCTTTGAGATGCTTTAGTGATACCATTTTTCGATTATTATTATTTGGTTTCTTCAGTTTTTCAATTCTACACTTTCTCCATTTTTTGAATAATTTTGTTTTCTGTTCTTTCGATTTTGGGAGTTCTTGTTTTTCAAGTTTTTAATTTTTCAATTTTTTAACTTTCCATTTCTTAAATGTTTCAATATGCTGTTTTTTTTTCAAATTTGTAATTTGTCAAATTTTTTGTTTTTACAACCTTGTGGTATATAAATTTTTCTGTATTTCCACATTTAAATTTCGCAATTTTTAGATTTTTAGATGCTGAAGTTACTCCATTTTTCAATTTATAACTCTTTAATTATTCAATTTTTGGTTTCTTCAGTTTTTCGATTCTAAATTTTCTCGATTTTTTTTTGTTTTTTGTGATATTTTGTTTCCCAGTTTTTAATTTTTCGATTTATCTACTTTTCGTTTCTTAAATGTTTCAGTTTGCAGGTTTTTTTCAATTATTTCACTTTTCAATTTTAAAATTTGTCAGTTTTTCAATTTTACAATTTGTCAATTTTTCTGAATTTTCATTAATTCCATTTTCCGATATTTAAGTTCTTTGGGTTTTGTTCCGTAAATTTTCGATTTTTCGTATCTCCAATTTTTCGGTTTTACAATTTTTCAAGTTTTCGATTTTTCAATATTTTGGTATTTCAAATTCTTAATTTTTTTATATTTTCACACTTCAATTTCGCCATTTTTCGATTATTCTTTTTGATTTTTCAAACTATAAATTTTTAATTATTCTACTTTTCGTTTCTTCCAGTTCTCGATTTGCATTTTTTGGGGTTTCCAATTTTAAATTTTCTGATTTTGCAATTTTTTGATTTGTAAATTTTGGATTTCTGAAATTTTCAGATACTTTAGTTATTTCAATTTTTAACTCTTCAATTTTTCAATTTTCGATTTCTTCATTTTTTCTAGATTTTGTTTTCTGTTTTTTGGAATTTGAGTCTTTTTGTTTCTCAGTTTTTAATTTTTCTACATTTCGTTCCTTAAATATTTCATTTTATGGTGTTTTTTTAATTTTTCCATTTTTTAATTTTAAAGTTTGTCAATTTTTCGAATTTACAATTTTGTGATTTTTCGATTTATCAATTGTTCTGAATTGTTTAATTTCTTCGGGTTTTGTTTTGTAAATTTTCCACATTTCAGTTTCCCAATTTTTCGATTATTCTGACCCTTCTTCTTTGTACTTTAGTCTCACAGAGTTGATTAAAAAAGAATCTCAGCGAAGCTATCTTGGTTTTATTATAATTAATTATTAAGACCCATATATAATTATAAATCTCTACATTTATTATTACTAAACACTTTCAAAATTCGCTTTTTTGGACACTAAAAAATTCTCTAATTAACAATAATTTATGTGCTCGCTGCACTCGCATTTTGAATAGTCTTTTCATATAAATAAGTTTAAAAAAATTAATGAATCAACTAACTTCAATGACTAATTTTTTTTTTATTTTTTTATTTGCATGATTGATCTCTAGCACTTAAGTTCTTGTATAAAAACACAACCCTGTGCCAGACCATGCCATGCCCATATAGAACCCATCCCCGCCCCCACACTTAACCCAAATCCGCCGCCCCTTTCCCGAAGCAAATTCCACATCCGTTCATACCACCTCCAACACAATAATCATCAACCACTCCACACCACCACCAACATTTAATTAACTTTAATCGCCAATCCAGAACCCCCTCCCCTCCCAAACCCCCAAAACAATCAACCCCTCCCATCCACAACAGATTTCCCCGAAACACTATAAATGATACCGCAGGAACGTAAACATGTTTGCGGGCCGGAAGCGCGCCTACATCCCGACCCGGGGGCGGCGTGCCGCCCCCAACCCCAAAAAGTCCTACCTGGCAGCTCCAGAAAGTTAGACGTACGCCTCTGCCGCCCCCGAGCCGTGTTCTGGAAATTCAAGGGCCCGATATCTTCGTTGGACACGTTGGACATGTTGGAGGCGACGGAGTCCCGGGACCCCCTCCGGGAGGCCAAGTAAGCCAGGCCTCCCTTCACCGAGCCTTTCCTCCGGGGGGAGCTGGGGCGGCTGAGAGACGTCATCGTGGTGTTGGCGACGTCGTCGGTCATGTCGGTGAGGTCAGAAGTGGACTTACGGCATCTCTGAATGGGGCGGTCGGAGTCCTTCTCGGACTCGTTGATGGACTTACTGGAGGCATATCTGGAACCAAATCCGAAATGATTGTCACAGTTTTCGAAGGAAGTCCAGAAGTACCTCTCGTCGTATCCCGGGTTGGTCCTAATATTGCATTTGGGCTTCTTGGACTTCTCCTTGAACGAGGAGTGCCGCGACGAGTACCGGTAGCTCGAGCACGTCTGAGTATCGCTCTTCGTGGACTCCGAGTCCAGCGAATGACAGATCTTGTACTCGATGTCCTGGTAGTCGCCCGTGGGGTGCGTCGTGGTGCTGTGGTACTCCAAGCTGGACTTGGAGTTGCTGGAGTCGCTCTTGGAGGCCTGGTACTGCTGTCGGTGGAACGCTTTGCTGAGCTTGGACTTCGGGGGGCTCTGCAGGTCGAAGTTGTAAGCCTCGCTGGAGGAGGCCTCCTTCTGCGCCTCCTCGTAGTTGAAGGAGCGCGGCGAGCGGGGCGACTTGGGGGGCGGGTTGGGGGACTTGGGGCAGGAGTTGAAGTCGAAGATGCGCTCGGTCTGGGAGGGGCTGCTGAGCTGGACTTTGGGGGAGTTGATGAGGCTGCGGGGGTAGCTGGGGGAGCGCTGCTCGGAGTAGATGGGGGACTTGGGGTAGTGGTGCTCGAGGCGGGGGCTGCGGGGCGCGGAGCCGGGCGTGGGGGAGGAGTAGGAGGACTTGGGGAGGACGGCGGATTTGCGGGAGGAGCGGGCGGAGCTGCTCCTGGAGAAGCTGCCGTTGACTTTCATCGTTGGACTCTATTCAGCCATCTGCAAATTAAATTTAAACGCGGTTTTTAATTTTATCGACTGTGAAACTAAGACGAAAAGGTATAAATACATTCAGACAACTGAAATACTGAGTTCCAGAAGAAGCGAAGATCAGATACTCTATTCGAAGAAGAGAGAAACAGAATAAAAAACTGAGTAGTCAAAAACAACTAATGGAAAACTGAATGGTAGTAAAGAAAAAAATTAAGAGAAGTAGTGAGACAATGATTGCTTTCAAAATTGACAAAACAAAAGTATAAGAGAAGGAAAAAATTGATCGAAGGTTATTTCGACAGAACTTCCCTCACCCCTCAAATACGGCCCTGTAAATCCCTCTTTGAAAAATTATAATTTTTTGAGATTTATGTTTTCTGATAACCTCTAGAAAGGAAAATTGACTTGAATGTTTCAACTGTTTAATTTTTAATATTTTTTTTGTTTCTTCAGTTTTTCGATTTGCAATTTTTCAATTTTTGTTTTTTTTTTAGTGCTTGCAAAGATACGACTAATTTTAGCAAATCACATACCCCCTAAGAAAATAGAGGGTGGGTGGGCGGGCCTTGTACATGCTAAGATAAAACTAATTTTGGCAAATCACATACCTTCTAAGAAAATAGTGAGTGGGTGGGCGGGGCTAGTACTTGCCAAATTAAGATTGAATAATATTAAGAGTAGTCACTGGAATGAAGAGGGATTCGGTGGGCGGGGCTACTGCTTGCTTATAAAATTCTTTAGAAAAACATAAACTCAGCTCGCCCATTGAAATATCGCAGTTTTGAAAATTTCAAAAAATTCGCATTTCACTCCGAATATTTCGAAAATATGACCTTAAACACGCTATATTTTTGGAATCAGCTCGTCAAGACGTATAACCTTATATACGAAAAAAAAAAAGAAAAATTTGGCCGAAAATTAGATCAAATAAGAACGTTTTACACGGAAAATTTTTCGTTTCGGTTTTTGATTTTCTTCAGTTTTTAAATTTGTGATTTTTTAATTTTTCTTTTTCTTGTTTTTTTTTCAGATTTTAAATTTTTCCAATTTTTCGATTTTAAATCTCTGGAGTCTTCAATTTTTTATATTTCAATTTTTATATTCTTTAGTTTTTATTTTTTTTAAATTTTCGATTTCCAGTGTCTTCTTCATTTCTCACTTTTCCATTTTTCAATAATTTGCTTTTTTAATTTTTCTTTTTTCAATGTAAATTTTTTAGTTTTTGAATTTTTCAGTTTTTCGATTTGTAATTTTTCAATTTTTCAACTTCCAAATTTTTAATTTTTCGTTTTTTTAATTTTAGACTTTTCAGGTTCTCGATTTTTCAATTTTTTGTCTCTTCAGTTTTTGATTTGCAATTTTTCTAGTTTATATTGTAAATTATAATAGTTATTAGATACATAATAATTATTACAATTTTTTTAAATTTTTGCTTTTTCAAATTGGAATTTTTCCATTTTTCAATTACTGTTACAGTTTCGACTTTACAGTTTTGACGATCCTATAATTTTTCGATTTTACAATTTTTGGGTTTTCCAGTTTTCGATTCGTTTTTTCTTCTTTCCAATTTTTCGATTCATTAATTTTTTCGAGTTTTAAATTTTCAGTGTTCTCATTTTTCGCTTCATTTCTTCAATTTGCAATTTTTGGGTTTCCCACTTTTTCGATTTTGCAATTTTGTATTATTTTTACTTTGTCTATTTTTCAATTTTGTCCGATTTATTAGTTTTCTGCCTTTTCCATTTTTCTGTTTTTCAACTTTTCCAATAAAAAAATGAAAAAATTACAACATTGTAAAATTGTAAAATTGAAAAAATGGAAAATGCAAAAACGAAAAACTATTAAATGAAAACTTTGATAAATCTAAAAATTGAAAATCAAGAATTTTTTTTTTCAGAAACAAAAAATTGAAAAATCGAAAGATTAAGAACTGAGAAACTAAAATCGAAAAGTACAAAATCGAACAACCGAAATATTGTAAAATCGAGATATTGGAAATTAGAGAAATCTGAGACTCGGATAATTGAGAAATCCAGAAATTGCAAAATCGAAAAATTTAAAAATTGGAAAATCAGAGATTGAAAATTCGAAAAATTGAATAAACAAAAAATTATACAATCGAAAGGAACATTGAAAAAATAGAAGAATATTAAAAGACGAAAAATCGAGAAAATAAAGATAAAAAAAATAGAGAAAATAAAAAATAAAAATCAAGAATTTGAAATTTAGGGGAACAAAAAATTGAAAAATCGAAGAATTAAAAATTATGAAACTGAAAACTCGGAAAATGAGAAACCGTAATATCGAAAAATCGCAAAATTGAAAGATTTGCTGATCGAAGAATTGAAGAAACGAATTCAAAAATTTGGACGTCGAAAACTTTGAAAAATTGATAAATTTAAAATTAAATTAGTATTTCACGGTTTAGGGTGTTTTTGTTTTCTTCAGTTTTTAAATTTGAGATTTTTTAATTTTTTTTTCTTGTTTCTTTAATTTTTAGATTTTGCAATTTTTCGATTTAAAATCTCTCGAGTTCAGAATTTTTAATTTTTCAATTTATAGATACTTTAAATTTGTATTTCTTCAAATTTTCGATTTGTAGTTTTTGATTTCGGTTTTGTATTTTCTTAGTTTTTTGAGTTTTCAGGATTTTTCAATTTTCTGCTTTTCCGATTTTTCCTTTTTCAATGTGAAATTTTCAGTTTTTGGATATTTCAAATTTTTGATTTTTCAACTTTTAAATTTTTAAATTTTTCGTTTCTGCAATTTTTGATCGGCAATTTTTGTATTTTTATTTAAAATATGTGGGAGTATCTAATAATTATAACTTTTAAAAATTTTCACTTTTTCAATTTTACGAATTTAGAATTTTCCTCCTTTTATTTTTTGATTATTTGGATTTTAAAAATTTTTCATTTATTCAATTTTTCAATTTTTGGATATTTAATTTTTCAATCTTTCAATGTTACAATATTGACGATTCTATAATTTTTGGATATTACAATTTTTGGGTTTTCCAATTTTTCGATTCATTAATTTTTTCCAATTTTTAATTTTCCAGTGTTCCGATTTTTCGTTTCTTCAGTTTGCAATTTTTGGGTTTTCCACTTTTTCGATTTTGCATTTTGTGTTATTTCAATTTATACTGTTTTTCACTTTTGTTCGATTTATTAGTTTTCCGATTGTTCAGTTTTTCGATTTTTCAACTTTTCGAATCAAAAAATAAAAAAATTACAAAGTTGTAAAATTGTAAAATTGAAAACTCAATAACGAGAAAACTAAAAAATAGCATCAAATGAAAGTCTAAAAATTGGAAATCAAGAACTTGAAAATTTTCACAAACGAAATATTGAAAAATCGAAAGATTAAAAACTTATAAAATTAAAAAACGGAAAGTACAAAATCGAAAAAACGAAATATTGTAAAATCGGGACATTGAAAATTAGAGAAATCAGAGACTCGGATAATTGAGAAATCCAGAAATTGTAAACAAGAAAATTTTGAAAATTGGAAAAACAGAGACTGAAAATTTGAAGAATCGAATAAATGAAAAATTATAAAATCTGAAATTGAGAAACTGTCATATGGAAAATTTGTAAAATTGAAAAATTGCTAATTTGGAAGCCGAAAAATTGAAAAATTAAAAATTACGTTAGTATTTCACGTTTTTTTTTTTTGTTTTCTTCAGTTTTTAAATTGGAAATTTTTCAATGGTTTCTTTTTCTTGTTTCTTCTATTTTTAGATTTTGGAATTTTACGATTTAAAATCTCTAGAGTTGTCAATTTTTTATGTTTCAATTTATAGATAAAAATTAAAATTTCGAGTTGCAGTTCTTCGTTTAGGTTTTTTATTTTCTTAATTTTTTTTTGGATTTTCTGCTTTTCTAATTTTTCCTTTCTCAATGTAAAATCTTCAATTTTTGAATTTTTCAATTATTCGATTTGAAATTTTCGATTTTTCAACTTCAAAATTTTTAATTTTTCATTGCTGAAATTTTTGTTTTGCAATTTTTATATTTTCATTAAAAATATGCATCTAATAACAATTCTAAGTTTTAAATTTTTTCACTTTTTCGATTTTACGAGGTTAGAATTTTTCCGTTTTTCAATTATTGGATTTTAAAACTTTTTCATTTATTCGATTTTTCAATCTTTCGATTTTTATGTTTTCAATTTCTTCATATTTAATTTTTCAATTTTTCGATCTTCCGATGTTAGTTTTCAGAGTTTACA